TTGTTTTTTTTTTTTTTTTTTTTTTTTTTTTTTTTAACATCTTTGCTTTCAACAAGGCTGCAAGTAACCACTAATTAGTGTTGGAAGTTACTGGAAGGGAAAAGATGAAGATTGTAGAGCAAGATAACGATTGACAGATGACTTAAAAGATTGCAAATTATATGAATCAGGAAAGCAAGATGAAGAAAGCGAATTCCAAAGAACTGATGTTTGAGGAAAAAAAATAGACAAATAAGAGTTTTTGGAGCACTTAGGAACAGTAACAGAAAAAGGATGAGACTTAATTGAATGACGAGTAACATGAAAATGAATTTTAGTAGATGGCACAAGAGACGCTAGCTCTTTAGAGCAGTACCCATTATAGTATTTGTAGAAAAAAGAAAGAGAAGCAACATTACGACGATGTGACAGAGGTGAAGGTTGGCTGCAAGAGCAGGTCCAACTATGTTTACAATGCGTTTTTGCACCTTGTCTAAAAGAGAAAGGGCATCATTAGAAGATCCGCCCTAGATATGGCAACAGTATTCCATAAAAGGCCGGATTTGAGATTTATAGAGATAGAGAATAGAATCCAGAGTAAGAAAGTGTCGAGCTTGATAAAGATATGCAACTTTAGCAGATGCTAATTTTGCAATGGATTTGATATAAGGTTTCCAAGAAAGATCAGAAGTGAGAGTTAATCCTAGAAGATAAAGGTTAGATGACTCATCGAGTACATTACCGTTCATAAATATAGGAAGGCAATAACGATTAGCTAAAAAATTGAGTTTTATCTGAATTAAAGTTGGGGCTTAATGATAAGACTAAATTTGTCTTCTTCTAGCCCCGGTCATGTAATTTTTTTTTTTTATAAGTTACAACAGTAAATTTTTTTTTTATCGGCAAAAGTGTAAATAAATAAACATTACTCACTCTATTATTCAAAAAAAAAAAAAAAAAAAAAAAGTTCACCAGCCCATGTGAGCCCCATGCTGTAGCAAAAGTGAGATCCTTTTTAAGCTCAAATGCCCCCTGCAAGCAATCAGAGGGAGTTGGCTTCTTATCGTGACAGGAATGAGAAATGTTAAAAATGAAATGACAAGAAATGTTAAAAATGATTTTTAATGCTTGACCAAAGATTTGATGTTTAGCTTTTCAATTAGATTTAAAAAATAATGATAATATAATAAAATAATAATAAAAACAAATAACAATAATAATTAAAACCGAATTTGATTTTTAATTTAATTGAAAAATTTTTATTTTAAACTAAAATGTTAGAAATGTGCTTAATTTTAAGCAAATCAAATTATGAAAGTGTAAAAAAATTTTTAATAATTTGTTACTTTTAAAAAAATCAAAAAATATCATTAAGCGTAAAGTTGTATATCAAATTGTCTCAAATATATTAATCATTAAACAAAGTAAGAAACAGATGTGTCTGGCTGGATACTGTGTTCTGTGAAGTGGATTTACTTTTGTGGCTTAGTTTTGGACTTTTTTGAGTTTGTCTAGAAGCAAAGAATAAATTCTAGGCAGGAACTCAAAAAAAAATGATTAACACATATTTTCAACATACATATCTATGTCTACATTTCAATCTCATCTATTAAAAGAAAATAATATCTAAGTAAGGATGAAAAAAAAAAGTAGCATGTTATAACCATTGGAAATAATATGTTTGTGAAGCAAAAGATCATCTTAACATACATGAGTTTTTTCCGGGAATTCCCGGAATTCCGGAAATTCACTTCAAACTCCTTTAATTTTCCAGAATTTTCTAGATGTTTTTTGTTATTAATTTGAAAAAAATATATATTTACATATAATTTTAATCGACAACTTTTGCATTCAAACAAATATGTTTTCTATTATTAAAATTTTCACGAGATAAATTTTTGTAACATTTTTTTTTAAATATTTAATAGGTAAATAATTTAAATTCCGTTTTAAAAGTTTAGTTTTTGTTGTCTGTAAATACGATCAATTTTTAATAAAATAATTTTCCGGGATTTTCATATAAAAAAATTTCCGAGATTTTCATAAAGTCAAATACTCATCTATGTATTAAATGGTTTTTCATAATAAAGATATAGAGCTGCTTTTTGCCTTTGAATATAAGATCTGATAAACAAATTTTATTGAATAAGATGTTGTGATGATCACATATGTTGTGAATTTCTTTATTCTTCTAGGGTATCAAACACAGCTTGGGCATAAACCTCTCTGATTATAAATGACTAATTTATATATATATATATATATATATATATATATATATATATATATATATATATATATATATATATATATATATATATATATATATATATATATATACACATATAATAACATTATTTTTTAACTAATTAATACCATGTTCATGACAATAAAATACGTTTTATTTTAAACGCACATTAAAATGTTATTATATAAAGGTGTATTAAACAATAAAACAATACTCTAAGGTTGTTTTGTCAATAAAAGACTTGTTTTAATATAAAACTACCTCGTCATATTGTTTTATTGATGTTTTACACAGTTTATAACTTTTAAAACAGAAAAAGCGTTTAGAATAAAAGAAATTATTTAAAGTAAAACGTGTTTTATCGTCAGTGTGAACGACATATAACATTAGTGGTTTTTGAAATGATTTTAATGAGCAAGATATAAAATGTGAGCAAGTTTTTCATTTTTATCTTCAGAGATTATTCAAAATTGTTGTATTTTTTTTCTTTTTTTTCATTTAATCTTTTCAATTATTTTTATTGCAGCTTTCCCACCATATGCAAAGTTATTGCAATGAAATAATCTGTTAAAAAATTAAAAAATTATTGATTGCCCGCTTGTAATTTTAAAAAAAGCATTATTAAAAAATATTGTTAATAACCTGATATGAATTCATTAATTTTCAATCATGACAAACAATTACAAAGTTAAGAACCTAAACAAAAAAAATAAAATTTTGAACATCCAAAAAAAAACAATTGACCATCAATTTCTTGTATTGGCTAGTTGAATTAATTGCTTGCCTTAGATTTCTTATTTTATAAGTATGTGTATATATATTTATATACACATATATATAAATATATATATTACAAATATATATATATATATATATATATATATATATATATATATATATATATATATATATATATATATATATATATATATATATATATATATATATATATATATATATATATATATATATATATATATACATATATATATATATATATATATATATATATATATATATATATATATGTGTAATTATATATGAACAAATATATATATATATATATATATATATATATAATATAATATATATATGTACAAATATATATATATATATTTCTTATTTTATATATATGTATGTATATATATATATATATATATATATATATATATATATATATATATATATATATATATATATATATAAATATATTATATATATATATATATATATATATATATATATATATATATATATATATATATATATATATATATATATATATATATATATATACACTTACTAAAGCGTGTTTTGATAAGCATTTGCTCACTTTTTCTGCTTACCTTAAGCTAAACCATTTTTTTTGAAAAAGAAGAAGAAAAAACGAAGAACAATGAATGAAACGATTGCTTCCCCATCCCAAACCCTCAGTCGATGTAGCAGCACTCTACTGCGAGTCAGGCTATTTGTCAGTCAATGTATGTACTGAAGCCCCCAGTAGCAGGCTATTTTAGTATGACGTCAGATTGCTTACCTTACTACGCAATACTATTTGTATATATATATATATATATATATATATATATATATATATATATATATATATATATATATATATATATATATATATATATATATATATATATATATATATATATATATATTTCATGAGGGTCAAAATGGGATGGGCTAATATATATAAATATAGTTTTGTTTTAATTTAAATCATTTTAATTTACTTTAATTCATCAAGCACTCTCAAGAAGACATATGCAAGCAATAATACATATATATATATATATATATATATATATATATATATATATATATATATATATATATATATATATATATATATATATATATATATATATATATATATATATATATATATATATATATATATATATATATATTTACAGGCCTTGTGATTAAGTTAGAGCGATCCCTTTCACGCATGTAAAACACACCCATAAATGGTCTTCCGAGTGTGACAAATAGCGCTTGCTAAATTTTGTTACAAAAGTAAAAAATTGCACTTGTCTGAAGAACTTGCGAGGAAAAAAATTTTAAGTTGATTTTATAGAAAACTTTTTTTGGTAAAATGTTTTTGTTGAATTAAATTAAAAATCTCAGTGCAAGAGAGCTAATGATTTATATCTAATATTTGAAAGTTTAATTCAGCCTGATGTTTTTTTTAAATTCCTGTTAAATCATGTTAGCCTTTTCCCTACTCTGGTCACGTGGAACCATTCGCTAACTTGACAGTTTTTTTAGGTCCATTTTTTTGGGGCCAAAAAACTTTGCTTAACTAGGACTTTTTATTTGAATTGTATAAAAATAAATTTAAATAAATAATATATAAATAAAATATCAAAACTTACAACACTTCCAAAAATTCCTATCTTTAATGCTTAAAAATTAGGTATCTAGCGTAATATTTTATATATAACAATTTAATATTCTAAAATTTCATTTATAGGTGTCGTACAGGTTTGATCACATTCATTTATAACTTTCTTACAGGTTTGATCACATTTATTTATAGCTTTCGTACAGGTCTGATCACATTCAATTTATAAATCACTATTACTGTGTACCCTTACACTATATAGCTACTACCTTATGTTTACATATATACCCTTATAACAATGTATTCTTTTACCAATTACTCTAAAATATACTCCTCTCATGTATTCATTTCTCACTTTTTTTATAATACCATTCTAATGTCAACTATAGTAATAAAACTAATTATAGCTAATTATACCTGTGCATCCATACATGATCAATAGATCAAGCTTGTCTGTATCGCTTAAATCATCTCTAGTACCTATACTTCTATCTTGGTCTTTAGTCAAGTTTAAAAACTGCTTATTCACTCTAATAGTTTTTGTTTCCTCTATGTAATAGTTCCCATACTTACTAAATGACCACAAGTGATACTGCATGATTGACATTATATCATACTTCTAAATAAAATAGTGATTTAAAATATTTAATTTCATGTAAACAAAACTTTTGTAAGTCATCTTTTTTAATATTCTTATCATTAACCTTTATTTTATATATATATATATATATATATATATATATATATATATATATATATATATATATATATATATATATATATATATATATATTGAATGTAGACATCCTGTATGAGGTTATGTAAATTATTATTTTATAAACATCAATATATATGAATTTCTTTTAATACTAAATTTATTTTTTAAAAGAAATTTTTGCTGGATTGTTGTGACCAGCGTATTCAGCATAAAAGTTTTTTGTTTGTTTTTGTTTATATCTTATTTTTAAAACAGCAGTTCTATTTTATGTCAATCGTATGGTTTCATCTTTTTCTTACGTAAGTGTGCCAGAAATGGTACATTTATGTTAATATTGCCTATAGGTTCAAGTTTGATTTGAAGACCGTTTTATATCCTGCCTTCCTAAACATTTTACGTAATTTAAGAGACAATATTGGTACCCAAAGTAATGAAATCTTTGGATACGTGATGGTGATGTTTTCAATGTTTTTAGCAGTCACTAGTGATTTTTTGTTCTTTCATTTTATTTCTTTTATGATTTTTATGAGGTTGGACTGTTTGTAGCTATTTTTAACAAGTACTTTAATAAGGAATTTCAGTTCATTTTTTAAATGTTTCTGACTGCATACATTAAACGCTCTATGTACAAAACCCTTCAATATTCCATTTAAAATTTGAGGGTCATGGTTTGATAATACCTTAACTTGAATGTTAGTAATTGCATTTTTTCTGTGTATTTTAAATTCATATTTACCATTTTTGTTATTAATTACTCTTTTTTCAAGATGTATTATGTGTTCTTTTATCAAGATGAAGAAGAAAAGATTCAGCTAAAACACTATAAACAAAAGACCTATCGGACTTGAATTTTCAAACTCATGTATTTCATAGTTCCATAAAAAGTATGGTTGGTATAAACATAATTCTATCAGAATTTTTATTTCTTTCATATTTAATTTTGTCGCTTTTTTAATATTATCGCTCACCTCCGATAAACTTATGAGTACTTCAGTTGCTTCTTTGAGAGGAATTTGGTCACTGGATATGTCCCACAATATTGCTTTTTCTACATATTGTTGCGAATTTTTTAATTAAGTTGGGTTTTTATTTAATATTGGTTGTATTAGTTTTACTAAGTAATTTAAGATTCTGTAGTTTGGTGTGCCTTTGGTAGATACTACAACTCACATTGGGTAAGATTGTTCAGGCTTATGTGCCTTCACAACACCATACATACAAGTTGGTATCGAGTCACTGGGATAAATTTGCTGATATTCATCTTTTGTGAACCAACCTTTTTTATTTAATTTTGATAGTTGGACTTCGATTTTGATTGCATAACTTTGTGTCAGATCCTCATTGATAATTTTAGTTGGCCCAATGTGTTCTCGAATCTTTTTTATTGATTTATCATGAGGGATCATTACAAAGCCCATTCTTTTATGAAATGGGTATATATCAATATTGTTAAAGTTTTTTAATTGTGTAAGTGTTCACAAGTCAGGTTGTCATTTTCATTATTTTTGTTTAGTTTTTAATTCTCCCAGAAAAAAAATTTTTTCTCAAAAAAAAAATTTTTTTTTTTTAATTTTTTTCTTGAAAAAATATAAAAAAAAAAAATTTAGTTTCAAGAAAAACTCGTATTTATTGATGTTTATAAAATAAAAAATAATAATAATAACATTAATATATATATATATATATATATATATATATATATATATATATATATATATATATATATATATATATATATATATATATATATATATATATATATATATACATATATATATATATATATATATATATATATATATATATATATATATATATATATATATATATATATATATATATATATATATACATATATATATATACATATATATATATATATATATATATATATATATATATATATATATATATATATGTATATATATATATACATATATGAATATATATATATATATATATATATATATATATATATATATATATATATATATATACATATAGATATATACAACCATTGGAATTAGGGTCGGCATTCGGCAATGCCAACCTTACTGCCGACCTAAAAGTGTTTGAGGTTAGTAAAATATTGCCGCCCTCGTTTTTATGTTTTCTGGCAAGACCTTTATATCAAATTGTTTTGCTGACCTGATGCCGACCTTTAAAAGATTGAAGTCGGCAAAATATTGTCAACCTCATTTTTCCTAATTCCGAGGGTTGTATATATATGCACACATATATGTATATATACATATATGTATATATATATATATATATATATATATATATATATATATATATATAAATATACATGAATATATATATATATATATATATATATATATATATATATATATATATATATATATATATATATATATATATATATATATATATATATATATATATATATATATATATACTTGCATCAAATCATGTTCATATAGTTGTGCAGTAGCTTCGCTTACTCACATTATTTGTTTAAAGGGTGGATATGCTCAAAGTGACTTTTTCAATGACATGAAATTAATTAAAAATAGATAATTATTGTCTTGATAATTTGATAATAACTGATAATAGTAAATAGATAATAATTATGTTTACAATGATTGTAAATAGATAGTTATTATCAATTTTGCCACATTGTAAAAACTGCTTTAAGCAAATCTGCACTTTTAGAAAACCCTGATTCAATTATCCTAGTGATTAACACATGTTGTTTTACATTTAAGAAACGGCCTTGGAATTAAAAAGCAACAAAAAAAATATTTCCTTAGTTGGTGATGTGAATTATCAAATAACAGGCGCAAAATCACTGTCTAACCGTCATGTTCTTGCAGTAATTTTTTTAACATTTCTGAAGTTAAATTGACTGCTAGTGAAAAGCAAAAATCTCGTCATTTAAGAGTGTATTGAATTTTGGAAAATACTAGAATCCCTACCAGAGCTATACTTAACTGGGTAAAAAAACTTGTAGGTTATTCTAGCTCGATTCAATTTATGCTCAGCACCATGCCATCTCAGATTTTGCTAATCTCTTTTTTGATTATACTTTTCAGTGCCACTTATTTTTTAAGCTAATTACATAACACAACTAGCTTTAACTTATGAAATACTTGCTCAATAGAGTGTTCCCATGGGTCACATGACTCAGGAAGCTTTGCCATTATGAGAGAATAAAAATTTAAACAAAACCGATATAATAAAAATATACCATTGCGATTTTTAAATAAATTTTTAGAGTAGCGTTTCGTTGCACATAAAACTTAGTAAAATAATTATAATATATAGTAGGTCTTATAAACTATATATCAAAACTAACCAAAAAAAAAAAAAAAGCAGAAAATTAAATTTGTTAAACTTAATAAGACAATATGACAAAAATATGACAAAGAGTCTTGTTTTAGTTGACATAATATAAAATTGTTCATTCAATATGTGCTTTGGTTAACTTTAGTAGCATTTAAATAGCAAATAATTTGAACAATAGTTTAAAAATAACATGCCATTAAACTATACAGATTTTGACAGATTAATAGAACACAGTGTCACGAAATGGTCACCAACCTTAACCTTATGTCCCGAGAAAACCCTTTGATGGGATGATAGTCCACATATAGTAGATCACTTAGATATAAATTTGGAAATCGAACTATGACGCCCGAGAGAGATATTTTAGTTTTTATTTTCTTCAATTCTGGCATATCAAAATTTAAACGAGATGATAGGAATTTGGCATTTTTTCAGTATTTATAGAAGCAGATGAAGTTCCATGGGAGGAATGATGTCCAAAATCAGTATGTCATCTGGCAGAGTCATTATGGGTTCATGGATGACGTTTTTGAAGTCTTTTGCTCTCCTTGCATTGGCACCACTGCTTTGAAACTGCACAAAGTTTTCTCGAATTGAACCAAGTGTTCTGAAATTTCCAGAGCGACTCAAATCTTTTGATTCTGCATCACACCATGAACAAGGATGTGCACTTGCATGGGACTGAAGACCACAAACAAGATTGGCGACTTTCATGTCACAAGAGATTATGTAGGAAAGTTTGTGAAGTTAAAGAGAAGAAATTATGCTTTTCAAGTTGTCATAACTCTCTGGCAGATCTTCTGAAATTGCCACCAGAAGTTGCCATTTGACTCCTGTGGCTTTAAGCCCTCGTTTTGGTGGTGGAAAATTTGAATCTGTGTTTCTGGCAATGATTCCAAGAGATACTTTCAAAAACCCACCACCTCCATCAATGCCAATCTTCATCAGCGAATCTCCTGAAACATTCCTTACTTTGATAACATGATTTGCAAGACTTCCTACATCTGGGCAAAAAACAAGCAGTCGTGAAGGGTGCTGGTCATCATTCTTTGTAGAATCTCGTATGGCCTTGGTCTCAAAATGCTCAGAAAGAGATTTCACGAAACTGTCAAATTTTTCTCTGAAATTTTTTTCTACAATCCGGAGAGGTGTAGCTTGGTTCAAAGATGATGCCAATTTGGACATGCCACAATTTTACAATCTAGTTCCAATTTGAACTCCAACCATGTCTTGTGCCGTGAGCTTGGGCACAGCAGGAAACAATTCTCTTGCACTTGATGGTCCTAAAGAACATTTAATGGCCGAGGTTAAAATTTTCTACATTTACATTTTAAAAGAAATTTTTAAGTGATTTATGCTTAAATCTATATTGCTTTACCTGGAACAACGGGAAAACGATTTCCTCCAAGTGGTTGACTTAGCCGAACAGTACCATGAGGTGATGGAGTTTTATTAGCAATTGTTAATGATGCTACCCTCTCTGCCGCAATGCGATCCCTCGAAGCAACTTCCACTAAATTTTGCCTTAATGTTCCTGTTGTGCAATTGTGAGGCAATCCACGACCAATCACAGAGAAGCAATCAGTGCA